TCTAAAGTAAATTATCATTTGATTTTTTTCTATCACTGATAACGAGAACACAGTGCCAATTACGTCCAGTCCAACACGAATACTGGTTTTTCAACTGCCTTCAAAAAAGGAGGTTTTTTCTCAATTCGACTCTATTTTGTTTGTATAATATATGGGATGTTCTTAACGCAGTATGCCGTTACTCAATATTTCTGAATGAACAATTTGAATGACAAATTTTTTAAGCTTTTCGTAATAATATGTTTATAGTCGGTTGATTTTATTATCAGTACCACGCCTGAACAAGGTACTTATTGTTATTATCGTATGACATTTGTTTACTAGCCCTCTTTAATAACTAGCTAACTCTTAAATTTGGTATACTGTGTCAATCTCACCACAACAGTTATTAAAATAATATGAAATTATTAATTAGCATTTATCAAACAATAATCAAAATACAATTAAAACTAAATCGGAAACAAGAGCGATGCGAGCGATTGTTCAATATAGTTTGGCAGGTTAATGTGGTTTCATTCGGTTCAAAGTCATGCTCTGTTAATAACTTTCATGGAATCTAACAGTTCAAATCTTTTAGTATTCAGTTTTCAATCTGTTCAATCACGCCAATACTAAAAAATCTTTGTTGTAAAAGAAATAAACCAACACAACTCAGTGAGTATGTCTAGCTGTTGAATATGTAGAATGAATTATGATTGAGCGACATGACTGGCGTCGCGTAACAGAGTATCGTTTACACGAATTTTTAAAATGAATGAACAATACAGGACTTGTTAGCATACAGTATAGGAGTATTACAATAACTTCAAAACAAAAAAGATCTAAATGCTTTTTATAAATCATATATAAAGAACATTAGCTATGAATACATATATATATATATATATATATCTATATATCTATAGAAGTAAAAGTTTCCCAAAATTACTCATTAACTATGAGTAATTTTCAATTTTTAAACAAAATTTTACTTCTATAGTTATTCTTCATCATTGGCAACGAACTTACATAATAAAAGTGATATAAATTTAATTCATTATAAAAAAAGAATTATGTAAACCATACTTCTCATTGTAGGTATCGAAATTTGTACAAAAATAATAACAATATTCAGAACAAATTTAGAATTTCCTTCATTTTGAAGTCGAATGAAAATAAATGTACGTCAATTTCAACGCTGAATGATTCCACGATCTGTATATGGCACTTGATTCGTTATTGACTTACATGCACATATTTATGATATTGGTTAACCACTGGAACGCGAAACGAATGTAATAATATTGGTATATAACAATGTCTGCGGTTTGAATTTGTATTCCATTTTATATTGCCAATAATCCAATAAACTTGAGAAAAAAGAACCGCCAAATCATTCTATTAAACAGGATTTCTCGAACAGACCTCGATCACGCTGTTGATATTAATTCCAATAAGAAACACCTGAGTCTTTAAATATAACGTAATTGAAGCATATTATATTTAAAAAAATATTGTAACTGGTATTTTTTCAAACCTTTACATTTTATATGTACTGCGTACTTATCCTACTACAAATAAAGGAATGATGATGATAATAAGTAAGTACATTTATTTAATAGCCCGCGAGTTCATCTCTGACAATCAGAGACTTTGCTCAAAGTCATCTACAGAGGTACTCTGTGTATCTTCTATGTCGATTCCAGGCATCTTGCATGTCAAGATGCATTTCGCTTGAGATATGGTAATAAGAGTGAAAGGAATAGAAGGCACGGAATACAGTACATTGGAATGGCAAAGCATGAGGATGATCACAAGCGTCACATGATTATGTGATGCTCCCCTGTGATAGGTTCGCCCCCTGGCACATTGTATTTAAATATATAAGCAAAATGTGTATATGGCATGTGTTGATCGTTATGATGTCGTTAATTGACAATGTCTTTTACTGCCATCCAGACTACAGTGATGACGGCATATTATTTATTATTATTACGTATGCGTTCTAATTATTATACGCCATAGATAAATCTAAGATCAGCAGCAAAACAGCCACATTATTCACAGATGCGCTAAGCAAACATTATAATAGCCATTCATTATAGCCGTTGCCGCATTAATTTGTAACAACTCTGTAGATTTAAATGTCACAAACAAGTCTCCGAGTGACCTGGAAATCCTTTGTCTGATTTATAGCAGCTTTTCTAAAGCAACCAGCGAACTAGTAGGTACCTACTCTCTCGGTTTACCTAAAAAGATCAAAGTCCTCTTGCACTTTTAATCAACTTTGCTTGCATTTTGTTAACATAATTCACTCGTTTCCATTTTCTTTGCATAAACATTTATGATGTAATAAAACAATATTTTACGATATATTTAGTAGAAAAACTTATTACATTTTAGGGGACCTTTGTACATAGTAGGCATAACTGCACCTAATAGGGTTTGTATGGACAACGCTTTATGTCACGGGTTTTTGATTTATAAACGAATTGTTGATCTAAAATTAGAATGAATATATATAAAATTCTATGAATCTAAAATTTTAAGAAATTATAAATTTTAAAATAAAGTATTGTTTTACATTTTTTCCTCGCGCAGATATTATGGCATTCTTGAAAAGAATAGACGTTTCCTTTTTATCAGCACAAATAATAAAAGCATTTTAGTAGGCTTATATTTGTCAGGTAGATTTTTATTCATATCAGAATGATTGCTGATATTACACAAGTCTTAACCCCATCATCAAGTCTATCTGTTTGTTACATTTTCACGATTAAACATCTGAACGGATCCAAATGAAATTTAATTAGTATATATTCATTTTATGGTCGCAGGGTAGCTTTTGTCTAAAAAAATTGTGAAATAGGATTGAATGTTTCTATAGACGAAATTGCGGGTATGAGGTAGTATTTATTAATGGGTAATATAAAAGGCTAATACTAAGTAGGCGACTATAATCATTGATTAATCTACTTATAACTAAACGAGAATCCAAACAATGGCATAAAAGTCATAATATTATACATTAATATTATTATTAGTACACCTAAAATAATGAACATTTCAATTTCATTTACATTAATCATATTTTATCCATACTATTTACTGTTATTTTGATACTCAGTACAATACTATTATTTGATACTCTGTGCCCCTTGTACACACCAGAAGTTTAATATTTTCTCATTACAAATTAAATGTATTCATTGTATTGTTAAATTTTAATATCATTGCTTTATAAATACCATTGTAAATTATGATGAAATGAGACAATAGATATTATCGTTAACTACAGTCATAATTACATGTGTAATTATTGTGTAACTCGTGATCATATACATCATACACATATATAATTAATGATCCCGTATTCAGGAAGTTCCGTTTTCGTTATATATAATATTATATAAGTAAAGTATTTCAACTATTTTTGTAATTCTGTTTTTGTTTTATGTATATTCATGCTAATGAATCCAATGGATTTGTTCCAAAAAATTTTAAATATTAATCCGACACATACGAGTGTGACGTGTGTACATAAATAATCAATTGAAATGATCAGATTTGTTTTTTTTATTATTACAGAAAAACAATGTTCACACATTAACATTAAAAAAGTTATCAGTTAATAGCGTCTAAAGTTATATTAAAAATAGTTTCTATCATTGTTTCTGCTATTGTTTTGGGATCAGTTGTAAAGCCAATTCTCAAAATTCACTGCATCTGATTAGCGAACACGTTCTTTTTGCCATTGTGAAATAATAAGTAACGATTTTAACATTAATATTAAAAGTAATATTTACCCACTGCTATTCTTCCTGTCATATGTAATTTATGATGCCTATATGGCATTGTACTCGTATATATTACATTGTATGAGTTGTCTACTTACTGACAAAAGGCATAATTGTAACATAGAGTCTACAAATTTAAAATTTTGCTCTGTTGTGTTTTACGCAGGCATTTACTAAGAAAATATGGAATTTGGAAGCGAAAGGGAGCCGCTTTCGCACGGTCAAAGGCGCAGTGTTTCCCTTTAATTATAATTATATTATCTAACGTTACATATATGAACAGAAACAGCAAGTTTATTTAAAAGATAGGTATTTCATATATCGTTACAATTCTGATGATGATGAATCCTGTCTGCACTGATGATGTTATCTGACGGCCGCCAGCAAAGAATAAAAGGACGATAATAATATCAAAGCAGATGGCAAAACCCCTCATGGCGGACTCCTGGAATTTACCAATGATGTAATTCATCAGGAAGGAATCATGGATATGGTCTATTCGACTCTGTACATGACTAGTCAAAAGAGTTCCCATTACTAAAACTGATGATAGTACTCATGAAAACATGTATTCAATTTATTTAAATATCCTTTAATAGAGTAGGTATTGAAAAACTACCATTTTGAGTTTAATTCGTAATGCTAGAACAGTAAAAAGAAACCGTAATAGCAAATTAAAATTTTTAAATAAATTATCACTATTTACCTATCTACAATTTCAGATACAGAATTATTAAAATTACATTGTACTATATACATAGTTTGTTAAGAAGAAGTATTTTTTTAATAAAACAAAATTAAATGTGGTAACAGTTTAAAGCCATTATTGCCGTTGTGATGAGTGTAGGTAACTTAACTTAATTTTACTTATAATAATAATTTCATTTTAAATGACATATTTTATGATGTTAAAATAAATTAAAGAAACCTTTTGTTTTTGCAAATCATTTTTTAATATAATGAAACGCGTGACCCACCATAGTTTTGCACGGTTATGCATTTGTAATTTAAATTTTACAAACCCTTAATTAATTAATTAATTATAAAGCTTCCATAAAAATCTCTCTATTCTAGTGTTAAAAATCATATTAAAATCCGTTCAGTAGTTAGTGATTATTGCGAATATGCAGTCAGACGTTGTGGATTGTTTTTACAATATATAAGTGGCGTATAAATTTTATCTATTACAATTTTATGTAATGTTTATTTAAAAAAAAAACTTACCGATGACATTCCAAACTCATACAGCACAAAAACTAATAAACCAGATCAATTCACTATATTACACGTGTTGATTCCAACAGGCGAGACACACTAAGTTCAATGAGCACCAACACGCTCGTAGGACCGCGACGTAGCCGCAACACGCTACGAGACGCTACGTGTCTGTGAGCTCCCGACACCAACTGAGCTAGTGCACTCTGTTTTTGCTCTATAGCTCCACAACCGGGATGCATACCATCGTATTCTTTATTATGATCTGATTATAAATTATTTCTATGTTATTCAATACTATCTAAAATTGTTTTTTTTTTCAATCCTATAATATTAGACGTTTACTCGATTGCCATTTGTAAAATGATTTTTGTATCAAATGTAAATTTTTATATTCATGTATTCGGCTTTATCTATAGCTTAAAGATTTAAATATGTTTTTAGGGAGAGAGTACCGTAACTACTTTGTCTAATTTTAAGTATTATTAACCGACTTCAAAAAAGGAAAACATTAAATCCCTATGTATGTTGTTTATGTATGTTTATCGATATCCTTAACAATGGTAGGTGAAATTTCAATATCCTTTATTAATTGACGATTTTGCTTTGATAAACATCGTCTATAATATTTTAGTAACTCCGGTGTACTTTCAGCGAAATACTACGGAAATAAAGAAAAGTTCTTTGACATAAATTTCGCGATACGACACGTGAACTATCTTTAGAGTAATTTAATTTGACTATACTTCACATCATTCAACAACCATCCAGCAAGTGTAAGTAATAAGTTGACGAAATTTTAGCGCAGTATAACCGTTTACCAGAGGCAGTGTATCAAATATGAACAAACAAATATTTATTTTTCTATATAAGATGATGAGAGATAGGTGAGTTATATCATTCGTAGTTAGAATTTAACAACATGATCATAAATGGAATGTGTTTATTCGGATAATATTTATTACTGTAATAAAACTCCTTGGGATACGTGTTTGGAGACGGTTGGGTAATCATCACATATTGCTACTTTCTGAATTGTGAATCTGATATTTAATTTCTATTATATATTTTACTAAGTAAAATAACACTAATTCAGAACTTAACAACACTAACAAAATACACCTGATTCAACTAACTTATTATTTGGGGCGCCAGGTCGTGATACCCTATTTACCATAAGTAGATGCCGCGGATCGGCGTCTAAGCGCGAGACAGCTACCAAAATCGTATAAAGTATAACAATCAGTTTGTATAATGTACTACGCAATAGAAACTTTGCCCTCTTTGTTTACTGGAACTTAGAAATATAACATTTAGTATCTAGGTGCTCAATGATAAAATAATTCATAGATAACAAATTTCACTCTACACGTTCGGGTAGCTTCTATATTTAGTTTGTAATTTTTGTTTGGAATAGAATACTGTCAACATCTATTATTAAAATGTAAGTTTCATTTTGTCTCAAAAATATTATAGATAGAATATTTATTCTTGGGCTGGAATCTAAAATTATAAAGAGTAGTTACAGAACGTTCGTTAGTAAACAAAATCTTAAATATAGGTTCAGAATTAAACAAAGTTAAATTTATCAGGTAATCAGTTAGATAAATATTTACATAAACTTTTTTTTATTAAAATACTTAGATACTAGCAATCTATGGCCAGCGACAGCAAATAAATCATTCTTTTATTTCTTAAACAATTGCAACCGTAGAGATACATTATTATAGCAGTCATTATTGTCTTTGAGAGTAATCACCTTTCGTAATAATATATATATATATATTTATTTACACAAAAGTAATATGAACGAGCAGTGATTACATCAATTTGTAAATTATACCCTGTTCGAAATTTTATTAAATTTCTTCTTCCCGGAATTATCTAACTCTATATTAGCTAAATATAAATCAATAATGACTGAAATATAGTAAGTATAGAAGTATAGTACAATAAATATTATGTAAAATCTGACTATTTTTTTCGTTAACCATACATAAATTATAAGATTTTACATAATATTTACTGTACAAAATAAAACCAGGTCAGAATAAAAAGTATTGTATTTATATACGTACGAAAATACAATACAAAAAGGTTTACTTCGCTTTTAAGATGCTTATATTTCAGAGCCTTAAGAGTACACATACACTGAATTACATTGTACACAAAATTGTGAATATCGTATTTTCCCTTTCAGATTGTAAAGCTCAGTTCAATCGCGTGTGTATACAATTTGTTACAATTTAAACTGTTATAAATTTTGGCCCGCTGCGAAGGATCGAAAAGGATTAGGTATTTCGCAAAAAGCAATTGATTCCCGGCGGACTTTGAATTGGAAACAAAGCTTTCTGTGTGGCTAATAGGCAATTATAGCAAACCATGAGGTAATAATATCGAACAAATGGAAAAACGACTATGTTCTACTTCATCACTATGTCGATTCACCAGACAAATGAAATTCCATTACAATATTAAAGAAAATCCCCAAAGCCGTTGGCGGCTTTATGAAAGAATTTAATAATAAAGAGCAGAATATTATTCAGTTTTTCCTGAAAACAAAGATGGAGCAGGAAGAAATTTTGTACCCACCAAGCCCCACCTGGGGGCTAGTCGAATTTATTAGCATTCAAATGATTTATAACTAGCGAGCGGCAGCTGAATATTTTCTGATTCGTCTTAAATTAAATTCTTTCTTTCCTTTGACTGGATTTCATTAAGGGTAACGAAATGCCGCGGAGATGAAAAAGATAATCTCGAGCGTAGCTCGGACGGCTACACGTGCCGCGTAACCGCTGCGCTCACGACGCGGGAGGCGGACAGCGGCCGCGCCGCGGCGCCGTACCGCTCCGGTGCGGTGCCACAGCGCGGGTGCGCTACGACGTCTTGACGCCGCGATCGCTGCGACTGCTACGTAGAACATGTCGAACATGGGCCCCAATTAATGTATATGTATACAGACTCGTACATATGAATGTGTACATAAATAGTGGCCTACGACTTCGCACGCGTGTACATAGCTAGCTATTTATCAATATAATCTATGCATAATAATAAATAAATAATCCATCCCACTCCATATATTAAAATTTTATTACGTCACTAAGAAAATAACATAGTAGTATATTCAAATATTCATAAACCTAATTATTTTCCTGTACAAACAGATAAATCGATATACGGACAATTTTCACCTCGTCACAATTTTATTATTTGAATAAATTACTTGAGATTGCCCAGTTAAAACTACTGACTTTTATAGGTATAACAATTTACATTTATGTTACTACACAGATATAATAGTTTTATTCAATAATTCAAATTATATAGTAGGAAAATAATCGTTCATGTTGGTGAATCGAATGTTTCCACCGAAAAAATGTTGCCTGCATTTTAGTATAACGTCATAAAAAGGTTTCATCACCATTGGCATCCTATCGGTTTATCTAACTGTCATCATGGTATTCATTAACTGTATATGATTTGATTATATACTAGTCGTACACGTGAATTCGTGCGCATATGTATGTAGAGAGCCCTATCTTTTAATAATAAATCAAATGATAATAATACAGAAAATATATAATGTATATACATGGTATATTATTCTATTAGTAGAGTATATGTGATGTACTAAAACTATTTATAAAATTAGTTATTTCATACTTTTGGTCGGTCACAATTTTCAACATTCTTTTGACCATATCTAATATAAAATATTCTGGGAAATTTAATCCCTTTAAGCGTTTTCGTGAAAGCTTATCATACAAATAAACCATGTAACTGTACAGGCTAAAAAAATAACATATTTTTTAACCACTCATTCTTTATTAACTCTGTTAAAATGATCTAAGACATAATTATTTATAAAATTTCACGCCTGTGATATCCATAGAGGGTAGACAAAGATAACACTTACTCTGGAAAGTGTAGCGACCAATGCGGCGTCCCTAGTATTAATTTAATTTCCTACTGTATTCTCACCTTCAGTCATATTATTTGGTGCCGCCCAAAATTTAAATTGCAATATATCGGTCTAATCGGCCTTGTAATCCACTAGGTTTCGACGATGACGTCCGTTATTATTTATATACAAATATAATACACAGGGAAATTCACTACCTTTTCTTTAAATCTGAACTACAAATGGATTCGAACTAACAAAAAAATTATGTTTCTGCTTACATTTGTACTTTTCAGTGATTAACAATGTTCATTAAATTTATTTATTCGCTTAAGAAGGATTAAGTGTTCGTATACGCCACATAGAGCGCTTCGTACCTACTTGTCCGCGGCTTCTAAAGCTGAAATATTTAACGAGCTCTAGTGTAAAGAACAAAGCATGCTCTGTGTTTAGACTACACTGCACCCTGTACATGCCTAGCTTTTCCGAAAGACCCCGTCATTAAATTCAAAACTCTTTTATGCATCTCTGACTTCGTTAACTACGGGAATGGGTGCAATAAAATGGACTAGCGAGCGCTTTTGCCTGTTTACTCAGTAAAATACATCTTGCCCACTGTAGCCATTTGTTTGATGACTTTAGTGATTACTATGCATATATTTAAATGGATCGGTGTTCCATAGCATTGCTAAAACTCCAATGCAGCGTGACCGATATGAACAATTACCTATATTTTGTTTATTTGTTACAATATAACCAGAAGTGATTTAAAACAAAAAAGTCTTAATATCCCGTAAAAACATTTACCTATTTTCAGTTTTCCTAGAAAATCAGGTATTACAAAAAAATATTTTTATTCAAGAATAACTAATCTTATACTTTTAATAGATGACGTTCGTGGTAAAAGACTAAAGTAACGAAGTCTTTTATTGATTTAGAGTTACAGCTATATAACTATTCACAAGCTTCCGGAATTTGTTATCCAATTAAATTTCCAAATATATATAATAACATTAAATTGTGAATACAATACAATAAAATACGAATGGTATGGCCAGAATTCAGTCCCAAAGCTCGATTTTTCCAGGCAATCACTTCACATCTTTTGCTTCCATATGTTCCAGATGTATGCCCATTATACTTACCACATCATGCATTCAATTGTACCTACTACTTCGTTTGCTAGGAATTCCGAAAAACTTAATTTTTAATTAACTTAATAAGTTGACTAAACTTTTTGTTTCTGACAAATTAAATCAGAATGAAATTAACAC